ATAAAGCTCTCTCAACACACGAGCTAAGACAAAATTCTAGCCTTTTTACATCAATTTTCTACTGCCTCAAAGGAAATTAGTCCCCTTTGAAAAGGTTTCTTTTACTCCTGCAGCTGCCACACTGCCCTGCTCCCTGACTTGTCCTCAACATATGGCCCTGTAACCACAGCAGCCCCATCTGTGTTAAATGTTAGAGAGTAAATGGGCAGCAATACGAGAGATACTGTGGGATCATGCTGGTTTATGTAATTTACGTTTGATGTAACAAGACCTAGCATTAGCTTCCTGAAGACAAACTGACAATCAGGTAGATGGGCACAAACAGCCAGCAGGAGGAGCTCTCTAGACATCTCTCTTGATCACTTTTCGGTCCGTAGTGGCTGCATGTTTTGAGGGCATCACTTTAGAGTTCCTTTCTTGGGATGTCCCCGCAGACAAACCACCAGTCGAAGGCACAGACAATTTCCCAGTCTTGCGGCTGAACACTTCCAATGATTTCTCAAACCTTTCAGATGCCTTCTTCCACCGTGCCATCTTTCTCTCTTGTTCTTTCAGAAACTGCTGCTTTAAGTGTTTGTGAAAACGTTCAGTCTGCTTTTTGGTGTCATCCAAGCGTTTTATCTTGAAGAAAGCAAATGCAATATTTTCCAGCCAGTAGCCTAACCACAGAGTAAAGAATTCCAAAATGATGCTAGCCTTTGGGAAGAAAGATATCCTGCCATTTCCCTCAGTACTGTCAAACTGACCTCTAAGCAAAGAAGCTCCAAAATTCATTAGTATCATTCTAAACACTGGTCCGACAAAATTATTTCAAATCATCCTGCCTCCCTTTCATTTTATACTACTGTAAGAAGCAAGTCTGGAGGACAGTAGTCATAGTCTCTTGCATTCTTGTGTTTTCATTAGTTAGGTGCAAAGTCTAACCTTGCATCTTAGACCCAATCCATCGCACTGATAATAAAAGGCCCAAATTATAAAACTAATCAATAATAATGTGGTCATCTCCTGATATGAGTGGGCTGCCGATGGAAATTTACTGAGCAAGCTAATAATCTTACGTCACCCCTTAGCACCAGAGGAGTACAAAGTGCCTTCATGCCTTCTTACATGCTTGCGGCCATGCAGTCTCTCCTGCCATAAGCACATTGCATCTCCTTGTGTCTCCTGATTCTGCTGAACAGACACGCAGAGCACCCTGTGCACGTGCATGGCACGAATCCAGGACACACATGCACTGCAAGACCAAACTGGGCCAGGTGTCAAAGCAGAGTTTAGGACTTGGTTGTAGTCCTAGATGTAATTTGTTCACTGTGGCTGCGCTGCCCTGAGTTCTTGAAACACAAATCACAGATGTTTGCCAGCTGCCCACTGCCAGGCGGCCTCACAGCTTACAGCTACCTAGAGGTTCCCATCAGTCTTGCACGTTCCACCAAGTTAAGGAATTAGAGAACGGCAAACCAAGGAAAATATGCCTCAGTTCTCTCTTGTGAGGCTATCATCCCAAAGACAGCAGAAACATTCAGTCGGGACCGGTTAGCATCACCAGTTCATGTCTCAAGTACGTATTTTAGTGAGAGACTCTGGTAATTGAAACTATTGGACATTAAGTTCTCTATTAGATGATTGATTCCAGTTTTTTTAAACAAATCTCACCTGACAGGTTCTTGATCAGGTAAGCTTTTTATCCTTTTTTTCCTTTTTCTCACTAGTAACTGCTCTGGGTCTCCACAGTTGAATGCTTAAGCAGGCTCACTCATGCACGCAGCCACCCTGGTCACAGCTCTGTAGTTCTCTCCGAAACAGTTCAGCTCAAGGGAAGGGGATGGACTTCCCAGCCCCATTTTATCTAATTTTGATTTCAACCAAAAAACTGCTGAAATCATGATGTTGGGTTTTCTCACCAAAGCAGGAAGGCAAAGTTCCTTGGGATTTATGCAGTAAGGTGAGGGCAGAGGATTCAGATGGCGCTGGCTGGTACTAAAGACAAAAGACTTGGCTGCACGGAGTAGAGAGGAGAGCTGAAGGGAACTACTTGGTGCATGAAGGCTCAGCTATGTCTAATGTCACTCTAAATCCTCACCCTGAGGTTATGGACTCAACCTGGCAACCCACGCGTTCCCTCAGGAGAGAGCCTCTCACCTGATATTGTTAATGAATCGGTTACTGAGGGATCGCCAAGTGAGAAGCACTAAAGGGGGGATCTGACTGCTGAAAAGTATGAGATGCTGCAAAAGCTTTGACTAGTTCCCATTCCTTGGAGGCCACACAGTTAGTGCTTCATCCAACCTCTGTAGCTCCTCTTTCCAAAATACAATTTGCATCCAGGCAGGAAATGGCAACTTTGTCCTGAGGTCAGGGTTAGGATGGAGGTTCAAAAGTTCATGCTGAAGACTGCCTGAGAACTGATAGCTTCCACCCTTCCTCACACTCTCTTCCCATTTGCTTCCCATTCCCCTGAAGAGAGCCCCTGGCAACAGTGATTTTGCAAAGTCCTGGGCATCTGCCTCCTGATCCAGCGGGCTTTTAAGTGAGGATGTAAAGGCTCTGAGGAACTGAGACCAAAGTGTTTGCACAAGACATTCCTCCAGCCTTGCCTCACCTGTGGGTCTCACTGCCAACCACTTCAGAGCAGTTCTGGGGAAACACTCTGGTTTTCCAAAACACAGCCACCAGCAGCCCAACAGCGAACGAATCCCCCCTTCCCCTGGCTGGAGGGATGCCCCCCTGTCATGGCTGCTTTCTGACCCGCTTCGAGGAGACTGCCCTCCAGCCTGGAAGCCAGACCGCTCTGCCCGCCGGGGTGGCAGCCCCTCAGGTCATGAAAAACGCCTCTGCCGCGTTGCTCGTCGACGGGCCACGAACCCCCTCCAGCTCCGGTTCAGCGGCGGGCATCTAACAGAAACTAGAGATGTGGCCCTTACTTTGATCTCGAGGAGCTGCTGGGCATGGTCGCTGGCACGGAGGATGGACTTGGGCAGGTGGCTATCGGGCAAATTCCTGCCCTTGGCCACCTCGGTGTCCACAAAGCTGTTGCCAGGGGAGGAGGGAACCTGTCACACAAAATGGCAGGCAGCCCCAAGGGCTGCAGCTGGGGGGGGCACCACCGTGATCCTCCCTGAGGCACGCTGTGGGGTGGGAGCAGGGGGTCCCACAGCCCCCCCGAGGTGGGGTGTGTGTGAGGAGGGTCCCACAGCCCCCGGGTCAGGGTGTGGGTGTGGGTGTGTGTGAGAGGGGGGTCTGACAGCCCCCGGGTCGGGGTAGGTGG